AGTATTTTACAGATTGCGATTAAAAAAAATTTCAGACTTTGTATATATATATATATATATACAATATAGTGTAAAATAGTATGTTTTAAACATCATATTTCAAGAACAGCACCCGTAGCTTCACCGTTGTTTAATTATAACAAATTAAAAGTGAGTATTTGAAGATCCGTGAAGATGTTGCAACGGAGATTGCAACACCAACTCAATGTTGACGTACAATATAACCTCCGAACGTATCTATACTTATATTATAGATATACAGAGGATTCTCGCCTCATGCGGCGTTGCCACATTTATTTTCACTTGCCTGTTTTGGAGCACGTAATGTATTTCAGAACACTCATTGACTCCTACATTGTGACACTACCCCCTTAATGGCGCTGGTTCAAAAATTAGGGCGCGATTAGATGCCCGAGACCAGCTATATCCAGACTAGCAGATGAAGCCTTGGTGGGTGATTCAGTTTAAAGTGATAAAGAGTATTCTTGATCAATTCCTCCTTACACAGTGAGGCGTGCATTTTTTTAAAAATAATTATAACAACGGAATTAGGACAAGGGAATTTTATTGATGATATTTCAAGTGAATTGTAACACTTGAAATCTCTTTTGACTCTAGTAAACGAAATAACTCAATTTACAAGCAGACTGAGTATTAATCGATTAGTATAACTTTCTTAGCTTTAATATTTTATTGAAAACCCAACATGTAGATGCGTTTAAAAATTTTATGTTTATCTAAAAGTATTCTGCTGGACAAAAAAAATTTTAACATTTCTGCGTATTATGTGCTTATAATTGCAATTTTACGTGATTCTTCCACAAGGTTACGTATTCAATTGAGACGTTACCAACATTAAACGTTCAAAAAACCTACTAATAATTTGATTTTTAATTATTTATTCTCCATACCCATTATCATTCTGTTTGCAATATATTTTATTGACAATTTGTTAATCATTTAATTTACATAATTAAACAAACATTCATTCTTGAAAACAATTTCTTATTAATTCTAGCCATTCTTTCAGGTGTTTGAACAAAATGCTGTTGGTATATCTATATACAGCAGACGGAAAATAAAAGAGTGCACAGAAATCCAATTTTTAAGTATCATTTTTTTCTTTTCTCACCTATTAATAATCTTCCGCGGAACGATATGGAATAGCTCGCGTAATTCATTAAGAATAACGATAAAAACACTGACTTTTAATTTAAATCAACTTTTGAGGCTGACTGTACCGCTTTAGCCCCCTTCAGTGACAGGTAAGAGTGAGACGTTAGAAATATGATCAGCCTAAAAAGTTGTTTACATTTACAAGAAGTATATCTACTCTCATTTACAATCTGCAACAAGAATATACTTGGATACCAAAGTACTCACTGAACACTGGTTTTATGCTAATTTATATACTTAATCACACTCCCAATAATTTATATACTTAATCACACTCCCAATAACAAAAGTGTTTGATTTTAAATAACTTTCAGCAACAAGTTAAGTACCAAGTAAGCCTGCAATTTTATCCCCCTGAATGTTTGAGTATAACAAAATTGTCGTACCACAATATGAAAGTATAGCTAACACATGCATGTTCATCATGTAAAACCGGGGCTCTATAAATTATCAAATTTAAGCTATAAATTTCCATTTCCTTTTAAGTGTCGCATTTGCAAATCAATGAGCTATGTAGATCTAAAATCATTTTCTCTCTCTTATTTATGGACACTACAGTTTGAGTCAGTGTGAATAAAATTCAAGAAAATCAAGACTTAAGTTTGCTTCTATAAATCAGGTAGGGATGTGAAATATGGACAAAACTGACTCTTACCCTGAGAGAACTACTGTGTAACGGATGTAGACTACATTGTCGATCAAAATTCACATATAAGAATTACATTATTTTCCATTGCCATCAAAAAAAAAAAAATTACTCAGCTTTTCGGTAGGGCAACAATTAGTTCACTAAATACTTTAGTAAGAATTTACTAATCTAATCTCGTTTGGCAACATGTCTCTGACTAAAAATCTGTTCAAATAGAACAAAAAATTGCTAATAAGAAGCTTGGATGAATTTTTCGATTACAACGAATCAAAATTATAGAAAGTAACTTCTATGCAAAGACGCGTAGTTGATCAAGCTAGGACCAACACTTTACGTAAAATTAAAATTGTAATACTCCTAATCCTTAGAAAAGTTAATTTTATTAATACTTTTTTTCACTGATAAACAGTTACGCATAAGATTTTATACTTACTTCAGTGTGACATTGAATACGTTGCAAGCACCTTAACTTAGCTAAAGAGCAAAATTATATTAATAAAGTAATATTAAACTACGATCGAAACATGTTTCTTCACAACTCCAAACTAAAGTCTCACGGTACTTGAGCAATAAACCTAAGGTCTTTGTACTGTGATGAAACTAAATAATACAACATCAAGACTTTTTCACATTGGACATATCAAGGTATGGCCCGCTGTCCGTTGTAAAGTTGTGAGTTGTGAGCAAAAAACTGAAGCATAAGAACACAACGGGCTTATTCCATAGAGATATTAGAGATAGAGTAGGCAAGCAACAGTTTCTTCTGTGAGGAAAGCGTTAACACGACAAAAGAGATGCAACATCGAGCTACCTTTTTGTCTGTGCTCGCTATGTTAATTGTCTATGCCTACATATACGTAAAACATCTATAACACGTGGGTGGATCCTTGTCCTTGCTCGAATTGCTTCCAAATCTACATGAAGATTTCCTTACGAATGAGCGGGAAAAAAAAATTATTGGTGGTTTTTAATTTACCGACATTACATTATAATTAAAAAAGTTATTTTTGGTAAAAAAAAATTTTTTTTTTTGATACATTACAGTTTATTATAAAAACGCATTACTCTTTATTATACAAAAATGTATGGATTTCCTCTTTGAACGGAGAAGTTCAAATAAGTTCTAAATAAGTTCGAGTTAATGTTGTCACCTACTGTACACCAAAAATTTTCTTTTATGTACCACTTTTGTACGTAATGCATGTGACGTAATAGTCAATCTTGAACGCGATCACGCTTATTGAAGGTTAAAATTAGACCCTATAATGTATTTAGAATATTCTACATAGAAATGTACACAAGAACGACGCTAAATTTTTTTTTATAAACTTTTGCTTCTGCAAGCAGGACTTGAGTATAATGGGCATGTTAATTTATCTCCATCTACTAAGTAGGTACTTGCGACAGTTAGGTTAATTAGTATACAGGTGTACTAAAAAATATCTTCCGATTCCGACACACAGAGCAGAACGCTTCAACGCTGCAGCGTTTCTCACGTTCCTGCTCCATGTGTCCACACTGTCCGCAGTCCAAAAGTCGCCCCATTGATGACTACTATGACTAGTCGCCAAAGCATGAAATTATGTCGCCAGACTCCAGAGTCCTAGGCCAATTAATCCACGAAGGCTTAATGTTAAATTTGACATTAGTGTTATCAGAAAACAAAAAATACGTTGATATAGAAGAAAATGATTCAAAAAACATAGCGTTTTGTTTTTTTGGTTATTCAGTGGCTGAGTTAACCTAAAAAATTCGTGAAAGTCCGAAAATCACTTTTTTCGCGTTTGAAAAAAAAGTTGACCTCAAATGCCGAAAAGTTGAACGACAAAGTTGCAGATCATAAAAAAACCTATCGATTGACGCGCGTTGAATATAATATGAATGCGTAGTTGCTGAGAAAACTTGAAAAAACCATCGAAAATCGTCTTTTTTTAATTTGTTAATAACGTTTTTTCTTTTGAGATTTTAAAGTTGGTATTTAGTCAAATTATGAGTTTTTGGTTCACAAACCTTCCGTTGTTTTTTTAGCCAAAAATATTAAATTCAATAGACGTCAGAAAATAATGCTGGAGCGATTTTTCAGGGCTTAATCTCTTCGTCTAGACTTATTCTATCATGCAATGTTTGTAGTAAGTAAAATTTTTTAATTTTTGATGCCGAAATCGGACTCCGAAAAAAGTACTTTTTTTTTCTATCGGTTTTTTGCATTTTTTTTACGTATTTTGATAATTGCACGTATATAACTAACTGCAATGCATTGTACTTATTTTTTTACGAATTAAAAAAAAAAAATTTTTCATGATACGACCATGTGGAGCCAAGTTAGGTTTTTTTTTTTTTAAAAAATCCCTATGCGACGGTGAAAACCGTAGGACTCTGAAACTTGCACACTTTACTAACAAATACCCATTTTGCATTAAAAAAATTATTCGCAATCGTTAACTTTAGCGGAACGATGGGTATGATAACGTTACAGTTGAGTCTTTTTTCGCGTCGCGCATCGACTGCCCGCTGGTATGAGGTGTGTCTGGCTGGTTGCTCTTACTCGGGCATCGTAGTCTCATCTTTTTCGTAGATTAATTGGCCTATCCAGAGGCTTTTTAAAGTCGCCCAATTGGTGACAAGTGGCCCAAACTGATGACACCATAGACATAAAAAAGAGACTGCTCGTTCTTATGTATGGCGCTGAAGCACAAGTAAAAAGAGACACAACACTGAACGTGTTTGTCTGTCACTTTCGCACGTCGCCTACAGTCATGATGTAAGTAAATAAGGTGTGTGACCCAACCGATTCAAATTGAGACTGTTTCTGCGAACATCCGTAATTTCGCCATGTTGGAATTGTGTAGTCTGCTTTGTTTACTTTAAGATATACATGCACTCATGACACTTACTTGAGAACTCGAGTGGTGTAATAAATTAATATTTACACATAGAGGTATAAAAATAGAGTGCGCGACCAAGGCAGAGGGGACGTCAGAAGGTGCGAGAGAGAACGCATTCTATGACACCACTGACCACTCTGATGCAGATGCACTGCTATACTCACACACATACATATACATTGTCGGGGGACTCACCGGAATAGCTAATCAGGAGTGGTGGCATAGAATGCGTTCTCTTTCGCACCTTCTGACGCTGCAACTTCCAGGCTAGTATAGCAGTCACGTACTCTATTATTATATTTACAATGTGCCACCGTTTTCACTTATCTATAAATATTTTTACACGAATGAATAAACAGTCAAACATTTTTCTATCGTAGGTAGGGTATGCTCTGTACATTTCACTCAAGACAACGAGAAATATCCAGAACACTTAATCGTCCCTGGTGATACAAATAAATTTGTTTTATCCAAATCAGCTGTTCCAACAAGAAAATCAGACTCCATATACGTACAGGAGACACTGTATTTTTTTACAGGATTTTTTTTTATCTAAGAAATAATTTAATCTCATGCAGTAATCTCAGATGTGCAACTAAAAGTAAAGTACAGCTTGAAGCCTCACTGAATACAGCAGCCTTTAAAACATTGAAAGCTCTGTGATTTTTTAACTATTGTTGTACATAAGTAATGATCCCTTTAAAATATTATCTAATAGTAGAGTTAATTTGTTATCAATTTTTAAATTTTTATTTATTTTTGTTATTGCATTGCGGGCTGTTTATATTTTNATCCCTTTAAAATATTATCTAATAGTAGAGTTAATTTGTTATCAATTTTTAAATTTTTATTTATTTTTGTTATTGCATTGCGGGCTGTTTATATTTTTATAGCCGGATGAGAACAATCACAATCAACCAAAATTCATTCATTAATTCAAAAAAAATTATGATATACTTATTGATGATTTTTTTACCATAAATACGTACATGACTTACTTCAAATAATTTCTTTCATTAATTCAAAAAAAATTATGATATACTTATTGATGATTTTTTTACCATAAATACGTACATGACTTACTTCAAATGATTTCTTTCTTAAATCCGGCAATAATTAATATTTATTGTCTCATCACTATTCGAAATAACTGTTAAATGATGTTTTCTCGTTTTCAGTAACAATTTTCAAGCATCACTTTTAACATTGTAATGTAAGCTAAAACCTCTTTGAAACTATTGACAATCACATATTTTTGAAATACCGCTACATTCGGATTGGCTCAAATCCCAATATGGACGATGTGCGGATGAGGCACGCTATCGGAGAAACTCGGACTCATCGGAAAGTTGCGCCATCACACACCTCTACTTACATCATGTCACGATGTCACATATCGAATGCACGTTCGATTTCTGGGATTATTCTAATTGTATTAAGAATGTGAACAACAGACGATGCGGATGATAATGATAGTGGTGCTGGTAATGGTCATGATGGTGATAATGATTGTGATGCTTGGTGATACACAGCTCTTGGGGCCATCATCACACCTTCTTTGTTTGTTGGTAATGATTAATGATGAAGATGAGGGTGGTGGTGATAATGACGATGAAGATGATTATTATGATGATTATGGTTACACAGATAATAATATAGATGACGATGATGGGGATGGTATTGATGATCGTGCATATAATGCCTGTCAAACTGCAAGAATCTGAAAAATCTGTTTATGAGGCATCGAAGTCCAGTATCGTTTCTTCTTGCTTGACGACGACGACGACGACGTTTGACCTAAAAAGTTATAAATGTTGATTAGAAGAATTAAAAAAAACTCATTATTTCAATCCACGCATGCGCAAAAGGTGATAAATACTCTTTTCTCAAAGTCAAAGTGGTTACATAAAATTCTTAATTATTATAAATGTAAAATTTATTTACTTATTCTTTTCTTATTACTATTTTATAAAATTTTGTTTTTATGATTGAATTTTCAATTAATGGTTAGAGCGATATATTTTATCTAGAGGGGAGGAAAATGTCGGTGTAGTCCGCAGTAAAAATCAAATTTAATTAATGTTTAGCGTGATGAGATAACATTAATTTTTTTTTGTACAAAGAGGCTCAAGGCTTTAACACAAGCAAGTTCTAGGCTAAGGGAGAAAATTAAAAAGGTGTTAAGTACATCTTGATAATAAAATTAAGCTTATCTCAATAATGAAATTAAGCACTTCTTGGTAATAAAACTAGGCACATCTCGCTAATTGTAACTTTCTTGATTCTTTTACCTTGCCCCATGACCTGCGGCCACTCTTACGAGCTCTCTCTTTTTCCCTCAGTTTTTATCAAGCAATTAAGGTTTAAAATTTTATACATGGGGTAGTAGATGGGCGTGTTTTAGTTTATTTAAGGGTACAATTTTAGTCCTATTATGCCCCAAAACCAGTTTCGCATTTCTTTCCCCTATCACTTCAATTATTTTATATTTCCCTATATACTGGCTATCGAATTTCCCTGAGTTGGGTTCTTTTAGTCAAAATACTACGTCTCCTTTGTTAAAAGACGTGATGTTAAGTTTTTGATCATAATAAGCTTTTGATCTTTTCTTCGCTTCTATTAATTTTTTGCAGGCAGTATTTTGTGTATGGTTTAATTCGTTTATTAATTCGACAAGATGCGTTGCAGACGTTTTGTCCTTAATTTCACCTTCAAACTCAGTGGGAAGGC